AAGGTGGTATCACATCATAGTAGTGTCGCCTCTGAGTCGCTGCTTCAGCTGCATCCTTGGCACACCATTACAGCGAGGCATCATGAGACAGGCAGGATGGTGAGATCGGGACATGAGCACTCCATCTCGTGACCACAGACTTACTGCTGTACCTCCATAAAGGATGATCCCCTGACCTGATACTCATTAAACACAATCTTATGCCAGTGAAAGGCTCAATTTTCAGACACTAATGCCTCTGGTTAAAGCTCTGCAGAAATGAAGGCATGCCTACTCCCCAAATGTGAGTTTATTCCATTGAAAATGATTTGTCTCCTGAAGCAATGATGCTCAGTCAGGTACCAGGCACTTACCTCTGTTGCTGACAGGTGCACCCAGCAATGAAGGTATCTAGATCAACCTTATATATCAGACTCTTCCAAGAGCTTTTCAAATGCAGATTAATTGACCTTAGAACCCCCAGGATCTCCATCATGATTTTTTTTTTTTTTTCCTGCAGCCTGTCACAGGTTCCACAACTTACCTTATCCCATAATTTACATCTCCAGTACAATAGCATTCTCTCTCTGGCCCAGAAAGCAGAGCTATTTCCATTACAGTATAGATCTGCCACAGAGCTCTTAACCTGCTGTGGACACTTCTCGGAGGAAGCAGCCTTCTACATCAACTGTTGTTTGGGCCAGACTGGAAGCAGATGTGAAATATGCACATCTGTCTTAAAGGGTAGTATCAAATCACCCACCATAGAGTTGCCTTTGGGCTGCTGCTCTGGTTATGGATTTGGTGCACTATTGCAGGAAGGTATCATCAGGCACCATCAAGTAGACAAGATGATGAATGAGAGAATCAAGGGAGCTCCTCGGGCATTCTTTCCTTCTCCGGGGAAAAGTGTATACAGAGTCATTTGTTTCTTATTTTGGAGGTAAAGCTCCAGCCTCTCCTTCACCACTAGAATCCTCAACATCCTGTGATGATATAAGAGATCTAAGTTCTTGAAGATAAAGTGGCATATTTAATACAACCCCAGGACAAAACCACAAAATACATATTGTCCATTCGATGTGAATACTAATTGTTTCTGATCCCTTTTTCTGACTGAGAGAAAATGCATTTATACAACCCCCAGATGATAGTCACAATGTTTCAGCATTTGCTTTAGCAAAGTTACCACACCTGATATAGCAGCTGAAATCACAACTATTACTTGTTTGAGTTCGTAGATGTTTATATTTCTCTTTGGAGGTCCATTTAGTTTCTGAAGGGCCAAAATGATGAGCTAATATAGGTATGATGAACCATCATCTTTGCATCCTTTATATCCCTAAAGGAAGCACCACATTCTGCCATCATTAGTGGCACTTTTATTTATTACTTTTGCTACAGTGAAAAGAGTAAATGAAGGTAGTTCTATATTGAATAAAGAATGTCCCGCAAGGACCTATGTCTCCTGGAAAGGTACTATTGGGGGTAGTAGAACTTTTAAGAGGTACAGCCTAGTGAGAGGTCTTTAAGTCATTGAGAAAGTAGCCTTGAAGAGCATGACCCCAGGTCCTTCCTGTCCTTTGCTTCCTAATCATGTGGTAAGTGGTTTTGTTCCATCATACACTCATGTCATGTTCTGACTCTGCAGGCCCAAAGCAACAAGACCAATCTACCATGGATACGAATGTCTAAAACTGTGAGCCAAAATGGGCATTTTCTCTTCTAAGTAGTATTCCTCAGGTAATTTGTTACAGTGATACAAACTAAGGTGAGTAGTTAGCTCCAGGGATTTCTCTTTAGACTGCCACAAACCCAGTAAACCCACTGTAAGTTTAAACTTTGCCAGATTTCTTCTATTATCTCCACCTTCACACTAACAGAATCAAAGACAATGGGTTTTTAGACATCAGCATCCATTCAGATTCGGTTTGACACAATGGGTTTTTAGACATCAGCGTCCATTCAGATTCGGTCTGACGCAAAGCTTTGAAAGGCCCTTTGCCCACTGGCATAATTACCAAAATCCTGACTCAGACACAGAAACCCAGCAAGGGATGATAATGTTTTATTAGGGTGATGTATTAGTTACTTAGCATCATGACCAAATACAAGACAAGAAACAACTTTAAAATTTATTTTGGTTCATGGTTTGAAGAAGTGCATTCCATCCTGGCAGGCAAGGCACAGCGACAGGCAGCTCCATGGCAGAACATGTCCAGGTTGTTTGCATCTCTGCAGACCAGGAAGCAAACTGCTGGACATGTTCCTGCTGCCATCGAGCCAGATCATAGTCCCATAAGGCCCATCCCTCAGTGACTACTTCCTCTACCTCCTCCAACTAGGCCCCTAGAAGTTCTACAACTTCCTAAAACAGCACCATCACCTGAAGAACAAATGTTCCACACATGACCTGGTGGGGGCCATGTCATATATGTCTTAACAGGTGGCCTCCACCAGCCTTCGTGTCATCCATCCTTGCCTACTGATAGAGGCAGTATTCTTGACTGCCCATTTATTTTGCTCTAAGCATGCTATTGTGCTAACCTTCATAACTTTGCAGGTTAGATCCTCATCTTGACACTGTAAATTGTAACCCTGACTTTCGGCAATTGGACCCTGCCACATGGCCATTATCTTTGGTCTTACCAAATTTCATCCTCAGCAAGATGAGCTCTCCAAGTTTCCCTACTAGCTGAACTGGTCTACAGAGCTGCCCTAAGCTTTGTCATGCCCAACGAGCCTTCTCATGAAATAAATTTATTGATGGATCTTTTACCGTGTGGGGTCCAGGAATTGAATTCAGGTCATCAGGATTGGTAGGGTAAGCTCTTTAACCAACTGAACCATCTTGCCAGCCCTCCCTCAACATTTTAAATACCTTTCCCATCTGTCTCTGGGAGCCTGGACATATATGCGTCATGGCCTTTGCTAGTCTTCTAGAAGTCATCCTGGTAATGAATTTAGACTGTCTCCCAGGATCCTAACCATGTTGTTAAATCCTCTAACAAAATAATGTGTCCTGTAATTCAAGAACCCAGTATGAGAGAAGGCATCATATTCTCCAATTTTGTTCTGATCCTAAGCAGTGATTTATCCCAAGCACACTCCTTCAGCTCTTCCCAATGCATGCCAATTCAATTCTTTTAAATTAAAAGAAAAAAAAAATTTAAGTATATATGTGTTACACCGGCCTGTATGTAAGTGCACCCATGTTGTGCTGTACATGAAGAGGACAGAAGAGTACCAGTGTCAGGTCCCCTGTGACTGGAGTTACAGATTGTTAGCTGTAATATGAGTGCTGGGATTCAAACCTAGGTCTTTACTTAACCCTGGGTTTTACTTAATTTCAACGTTACAACCCAGTTTTTAAAAAAAACTTTTTGAGATTTTTAAACATGCATATAAGGTTTTGACCAAATCCATGCCCACTCCCACTCCTTCAACACCTCCCGTATCTCCCCATCACTTTTTTCTGACAACTCTGTGTATTCCTTCTTTCCTTTCTCTCTCTCTTCTTTCTAACCCAGTTTTTGGTGTGAAGAATATATTAACTCCAATGGGCTGCATAGGCTAATTACTAAATAGGCATGCTGTCTACAGAAAGCCTCTGCACTGTCATTCAGTTTGGGAATGGGGTAGGGGTTGCTCACCAGTAACTGGCAGGATGCTGATTAGAGGCTTAAATTCAGGAGTCTGGGAAGTATAGTTCTTCGACAGCATCCTGATGTCTCAATCCCACTTGTCAGGATTACTCAGGTTTTCCCAAGCAGTGCCTTGATCTTGGCACAATGGACCATTTGGATTGACAAGACATAAAAAGCTCTTTCCATATGAAACCAGAGGTCCTCTGACTTCCACACAGGGCTTCTGTTGCTCTCCAGTACTCTGTACTATTCTTACCTTCTATTTCTCTACAACAGACTCACGTACTAACGGCAGTGTGGCCAGCCAGTCAGGCAGTCAGGTATGCTTTCCCTTCAACCACTCGGCAGACTCATGTGTTTGAACTTGGCCTCCAGCAGGTGGCACTGTTTGGGAAATTTATGGAACCTTGGGGAGGCAGGGTTCCAGTGTCACTGGAGTGACCTTCAAGTTTTATAGCCAGGCTCCATTTCCTGTTCTTTCTTACTGACTGCTAATGCAGTATGATCAGCTGGCCTCATGTTCCTGCTGCCATGACTTCTCGCCATGGCAGACTCTATGCCTCTGAAACTGTGAGCCAAAATAACCCTTTCCCCCTTAAGTTAAATTGATCAGAGTATTTTATCACAGTAACAGAGGACAAACTACAACAACCACTAATTATAGTACTTCAGGTCACCAACAATGCAAATAGTAGCTACTGAAACTTGTGTCAGGGACTGTAAGCTCTCTCTCTACTTACTACCAATGATGGGGTCTACACTGCTTATCTTTGTGCACATAAATCTCTCCCACCTATTTCAATAGCAAGCCAAACCTTTTTAAGTTTATAGAAAAAAATCAAAATTCTTTCCAAAGTAAGCTGATAAAATAAGAATTCAACCAAAAGTTTTCAAGTATAATATTAGATTTATTCAAAAACAAAAATAAATGAGATTCCCTGGGTAAAAGATCTGTAACACTATTTCTTATATGATGTACGTGAAACTGTCTAGGTAGTTACCTTTGTCAATCATTATTTAATGAGCACTGGTCAGGACATACATTGTAAAGAAAATGGTGAGCATGCTAACTGCTAATGCAGACATGACTACTTAAGATAACATGAGTATTTAGTAAAAATTTAGAATGACACCATAATTTTACCCGTTACACTTTGTAAAATCAGATACATGAATTTATAAGCAGTGTTTTTAATAAAAATGGCAATTTAATTTCAAATAAATATATTACCTTTCTATTCCTTTATCCTGTATTTTATATGTACCTAACCGGCAAAACCTACCAGATCACTGAAATCAGCAACAAGCCAACCACGATGCTGTTTGCCTTGTCAGCAAGGGTCTTGGATTTGAAATTCATTTTTCTTATACTAAAAGCCTGATTAGCAGTTCCTATAAAAATGGCACCCTCACAACTCATCTAGTGCACACATTCCTCCTCTTCTCATGCATGACTACCAGGAGGAGCAGCTCTCCTAGTCCTCCTGCTCCTCATAGTGAGCATAGCCACTGGCATAGGTCCTTCCTAAATTCAAACTAGTGAACAGATCTGATGACTCTGTATCTGAATCCTTCCCACCTTCATCTTCTTCCTCTTCATCATCCTCTGCTTCCTCCTCTTCATCTTCCTCCTCATGGTACCCAGGATCCCCATACTTGTCAGATGAAAGGTTCTTCCAGTAAGTATCATACCCAGAAGCTCCATCTCCCTCTTCACCTCCAGTCTGTCTGCCAAATTTCAAAGAGCGTGCTACGAGAGACAGGCATGCACATGTCATCAGTTAGTCCCAATGGTCTACACAGTCCCATGGTCCTCTAAAACATACAGTTACACCACTGATTATTCACAAAAAGGCCATATTGCCATAATTTTCTCATGCAAGTATATATACTGTCATAACAAGTAATGAATATTACAAAGCTATTTCATTATGCCTAGATAAAATTAGAAAAGAAATGAAAACAAAAAAATTCCCTAAATTAGCCATCTTAAAATTAAAATACCTTTCATTTAGTCAATTAAAAGTTTACTTTTGAAGCACACAGATCACAGAACATTGCTGATTGCATGCATTATTATATTACAATTACCTTAAGGTTGCTCTTATAAATGCCAGAAAAAAACAACTTTTCTATTCTTTTCACTTGTAACAACTAAAATGTAGTATATATCAGCAAAATCATTCTCACCTCATTAAGTAACTACATTTTTTTAAAATGTCAGCATCATTTAGAAACATGGTTCCATCCTGAAATGTTTAATAAAGAGCCGAACTTCTCTATGGCAAAATGTGAGCCATATTACTTGAAGCATATTTGTAGTGCTATTAATTCATTTAAAGGTTCCTCAAAAACCATAAAACAATTACTTATAGTACTCATTTATCATAAAAGCACTAGGTTCTCCACATACCTAAGAATAGCTTCAAAATGAATTCGAATTCTAAGTACTGAAAATCACCATTCCTTGAATTTTAAGGAGAGATAACCACGCAATTGTTTAACAAGGAAGCCTGAGTGAAAACAGAACAGCTGCCAAGTGTGGTGACCCATGCCTGTAATCCCAACATGTGGAGGAAGAGGTAAGAGGTACAGAAAACCCTCCCTCAAAAACCAACTAACCAACCGGCAAAAATCCTGAGTTTTCTAAGTTTCAACATACACTGTCATTAACTAAGGCAACAACAATCTCTGACAGTGAATACTGTTCTACTTCTTACATAAAAGTGAAAAACTACCACATATTTTCCAAAGCTATAAAATCTCACTTAATACAGTCATCGTTTCAAACAAAAATAGAATCACTAAGAAAAGGAGAGAAGGCTGGGAAGATAGCTTAGTCAACATGATGGTCAGTGCTGCCAACTTGAAAGAATTTACAATGACTTGGGAGATGGGCCTCTGGGCATGATTGTGGGTATTTAGGCTGATTTTGTTAACTGATATGAAGAGTCACCTTAACTGTGGGCAGGATCATTTCCTGAGCAGGAGATCCCATACTGCATAACTTGCCAAAAGCAGGCTGAGCACCAGCTTGCATCCACTGGTCTCCTTTGCCTGCAGACATAATGTGACCAGCTGCTTTGAGCTCCTGCTGCTTTGACTTCTCCACTATGAAGGACTGCATCGTCAAATGAATTTAAATAAACCCTCTTTCCTTAAGTTGCTTTTGTCAGGGTATGGCATCACAGCAACAGAAAAGAAACTAAGAATCCTCCTAAGAAATGACACACAAGGTTTATCTCTGGCCTCCACACACACTTATGTACCCTCCACTCCCGACACACATGCGAGCACATGCACGCGTGCACACGCACACACACACACACACACCCACACACACACACACACACGAAAAATAGAGAAAAGCTTTAATCTAAGCACAAAAGCAAAACACTCCATTGGCATCTTAAGAGAAGCCTTACTTGACATGCTAAGATCCTTTGTCTCCTGAGTTTCATGTCCACATTTAGGACAAGGAGGCTGTTTTCCTTTTTCCTGCTTAAACACCTTGCTCCTTGTATGTTCATCACAGAAACAAGCCTGCACAAGAGAAGCAAATATAAGTAAATTTAAAAGATAGGCAACAGTATCATTCAATATTTCAAAGGTAGTTTTAAGAGAGTTTTTAAAACTACACTGGAATTAGTCATATGCTCTTGATTTCAATTTCTTAAAGGGAAATGGATTTTAAAAAGAATCTCAGTACTCATCAGCTGGGAGGCAGAGGCAGGTACAGACAGATGTCTATGAGACAGAGGTGAGCTCAGCCTGGTCTCCATAGCGAGTCCAGGCCAGCTGGGGATTTAGAAAAAAGAAAAAAGAAAAGAAAAAAAGGAAATGTATTTCTCTAGGAACTAGGGCTCTTCTGAAACAGGACTTAACACAAGGTAGAAACTTACTACACAGAGAATGACATGGAGAAACATTTATTCACTTATTCATATGAGTATTCACAGGTTCTTGACAACACAGTGGTGGGCAGCCTGTTCCTCTTCAAGTACAGGATTCAGTTGGAGAACAGAGGCAATTTAAGGTCCTAGGTATCCAGAGAAATGCATAGAGGCACTAAAAACATGGGATTCAGGACTCTTATCTGACATCACAGGTGAATGGGGACAGTTAAGTGAGCAAAGACAGAAGAATGTTCCAGCAATGGAAACAGCACAGATGATGCCTAAAACCCTGAAAGCACGAGCACTCTGAATAAACAGAAAGCCATTTGGTAGAACACAAGCAGATGGGAAAGAAATAAGACCGGGTGTGGGCAAGACAAGGTCAGACTAAGGACAAGAAAAATGTTTCTGAAATAAATGAGCTACCATCTGTTTAGTGATCTTCGAGCAATCAGAATGCTGGAGGTAAACTAAAGTAACATTATAAGGTCTTCACATTACCCTAGACAAGCACATTTTTGGCATTAATTAAAATACAGTTTCAACACTTTAGTCACAATGTTCTCCATAAACATACATCATTGGGACCTAGAAAGCATGTTCTAGGAACAACTATACTACAAGACTACTGGATGACTGACAAAAAGCCCCTTGTGATTTCAATGGCACAATCTCAAAACTAAAAGAACTAAGTGGAACTGGTGGTTCATGTCTGTAATCTCGGTACTCCAAAGGCAGAGGCAGACATTACTGTGAATTGGAGGCCAGCCTGGACTGCACAGCAAGATCTTATCTCAATTAAATAGTTAGCTAATTAAATTTAAAAAATAAAAGAATCTTTAAATCCCTTATAGATTAACTTATGTGATAAGTGATTCCAGAACAGGTGACTAGTACAAGAATTCAAAACGAAATCTGAAAAAAAAAAAATACATAAACATACCTTACATCGGAGACATGAATGCTGGCCAAGTCGATTGCATGAAACACCTGTGGGAGACAAGAGTCACTTTAAAATCTAATCAGCTGCTCAGTTCTTCTATACTTTTGTCCTTTATTGAATCACTAGGGGCTGTCAATGCAGTAACTTATCACTCAGAGCTGCTGACCTATAGGGTTCAAACACTATATACACACAAAGCATTCACTTTCTTCTCCAAAGAGTTTTATTTTTATCATATATATATATATACATATATATATATTGCAAAAGGATCAAATATGCTATGTACTTTGAAATAGTCTTGTGAAAATTTCTGTGCAGATGTTGAGACAACTTTACATACGCTGTGCAGTGCGCATCTCAAATCTGTGACTTCATCACTAAAATCTGCAGATGAGTAACAGAAATTAGCATTTTTCCAAGAATAAGAACCACATTAAAGGAAGTGAGTATCTGGGAATGTTGGTCTTTTCCTAGACGGTACCTGCTATTAATGAGGCTCAATGGCCAGCATTAAACAATAATACCTTAGGTGGATTTTCACATTTTTAAGCTCTTGAGAAATAAATCCTCTATAGAAATGATATCATTATTAATCAGTGACATTGGCCTTCAAGTGGAAAAATGCAGAATTGTGGATGCAGGTTACATACAGATGTCAAGTACCCAGTGCAAATTCAACAATAAGATCTCCAAGGATGAGGCTTAAATATCTCTATTTTTTTAAAACATACATAGGTATTTGTGACACACTCTCCTGTCTATGAATCACTGAACCGACCAGTAGAAATGAACTCAGGTGGTATCACTTACTTGAGGGCATTTAGAAGTGGAAGGAGGAGGGTGGGGGCTGATTGTTATAGTAACCTAAATTTGAAAATGACATCTAGTAAAGGGGATGAGCAATATTATAAGAACTCCACTGTCTGGTCAAAGCCACAAATAAAGAACTGTTTCAACCAATATTCCACAATTATCTCTGTCAAAATAATGAGGATTAAGTGTTCTGATGCTTTAATATAAACCAAATACCTACGAGTTAAATGTATTAAAAGGTAGCATAAAAACTGTGACTCCTTTTAAATTAAGTTTAACATTTATACTATTCAGACTCTTAGGTACAAGAACAGCTAACAAAAATCAACTTACACTTAAATGTTTCAGCCTCTAAAACTTGGCAGCTGGCTTGATGCTCAAATTGATCATCTTCACAGAGAAAGTTATGGCAAAAAGAACAGCTGAATATTCTGCCTCCTAACAGATTGAAAATAAAACTACAAATTTAATATGACAAACTTTAATGTTTTTAAATAATTTACTGAGAATTTTATACATGCATGCAAGGTGTTTTGATCAAATCCATGCCTACTCCCTCCCCTCCAATTCCTCCCATATCTCCCCATCACTTTTTTTCTAATAACTTCATGTACTCTTTCTTCTTCTTTGATTTATTTATTTTTATGGGGCTTTTGGCTACTCTAACATTCCCCCCTCTGAAGAGGTAACCCTAAAATCTTTTAAGGATTAGATACAAGCTCCCAAATACTTTCGACATTTTTGGCCTTTGGAACAGAGTATGTTGCTAACAGGCCCAAGGGGCCAGACATTTTGACTTTCAGCCAAGAAACTGGCTACTTTTCTTTGGGGTCTTTCTACCCTAACTGCCTAGCCAATTCCTACCTCCTATTCTTATCACACCATCCTCTGAAGAGGTTACCCAAATTGCCGATAGGGAATCAGGATGCAGAACGCTCTGGCTTCATCCATGCTGAACAGGGATGCAGAGTGAGGCAATTGGAGTACCCCTTCAGTGGGTCTCTCTAGAAGACTCCCAAATCGCATTAACTCTTATTTCTAAGGGGAAAAGAAAGTCCTTGAATCATGAATAGGAGCTACTTATCTACAAAACTGCTCAAAAACGGCAACTGATTTCAGATGTGCACCAAAACTACACAACAGTAGTGAAAATAAAACTACATAAGCACTTCAGATTTGACCATTAAAGTGTGGCCTTCTAGAATCTTCTGTTCCCCTCTATAATAGTCAAGGCTCAAGAAAGACTTCCTGCTCCCCATAATTCCCCTCTCACCCATGTAGGTAAACAGTACTAGTACTTACTAATGCTAGCGAGTACCTTTCCAACCAAACTGACAACTGAAACTGTGCTAGTGGTTAAAATTTGAAAGGATCATTAAAAGCAAAAAAATAAAATGGCTTTACAATTCAAGCTTCCTTATAACGTAGGTATGCTTGTACCTAATCACTCACCATGGTCCCAAACGCCTCGCTCGCATTCAACACACTCTGCATCAGTAAGTGGGCAGGCACAGGCATGTGTGCTAAGACATTTCCTACCATGGCAAACCCAAGCTTCACAGAAGTCACATATTGCACCCTGCAACCAAGGAAAAATATTTAACCATGTGCCACTTGACCATCTGAATGAATTAAGGCTGTTACAAAACAAATAAAAATCAGCATCATTTACAAAAATTTATTATCCTCAGAAGAAAATTCTAGGTGGGGGAAGCTTTATACCACTTCTAAGCTACATTATGGTTGTACCTGAATAAAGAATCGAGGCAGAAAAAAAAAAAAAAAAATCCCAGGGCAGCACTAGAGCCCTAATAATGTTTGGAAACACAGAAATCTGAACTAGAGGACAGCTCTGCATCACTACAAAACCAGAACCCTAGCCCTAGCTCTCTGTGGCTTTCCTTTAAGAAATGTTGCAGTATCCACACTATTCATGGACACCTGATGAGCTGGTGTGAAGAAACGTGTCCACAGTTCCACATCTGATGTTTTAGGAGTGTCAAACTCTGCATATAAACAAGTTTAAAAAATAGTCTCTTTACCGTGGAATGGCAGGTACAGCCTATCTATGTAATAAATCAAGTCTTTTCCTATATCTTGGACCTTCAAGATGGCTTTGTGGGTAAAGGTTCTTCTAGGCAAGCCTGGCAAGTTGTCCTCTGACTTCCACACACAAACCACACCACATACATCTATACATTAAAAGCACACATACAATAAAATTTTGAAGTCTTTCCTGAATCTGACATGCTTCTGTAGATGTCCGAAGTCTTTGGGCAGGAAACACTCACTCAAGATACTCTGGAGGCTGGACATGGTGGCACATTAATCTCAGGACTCAGGAGACATTAGCAGACAGATCTCAGTGAGTTCGAAGCCAGACTGGTCCACACAGTGAGTTCTAGCCAGCCAGGGCTGCATAGTGAGACCCTGTCTCATCAAAAAAAAAAAAAAAAAAAAATCCTGTATCTAGTATAAATAATACATGCTTTGCTTTTTTCTAATTTAATGCTTTAAAAAACTATCAATCCTGAATTCTTCTGAAACTTGGTTATTTAATTTAAAAGTTTGAATATTGGGGAGGGTCTTACAATTCAGGAAATAAGATTTTTATGAAGCCTTTTCATAATGTGGAGATACATTAAAAAGGTAGCATTAAAAAACAACCAACAAATAGTCAGATAAGGCAGTGCTATCTGGGGGGAAAATAACATTCAGAATGGAATTTTCTTATCCTTGGAAACCTCTTAGAGTAAGACATAAGGACAAGGAGCTTACCACCATTGCAAGGCCAGTGCTGTACACACCAGCATGCTTGATGACACAGTCTGAAGACTTCATCATGCACTTTGTTTTTCCTAGGGAAGAAAAACTTTGCACTATTAGCCCTACAAATTAGTGCATATAAGAATTTGCTAACCCTCTTTTAATCTAGCCCATGCTCCTATGAAAAGAATTTCTTTAAATAAATGGTATCGAACCAGTTTCTATCACTTAAATGACTAAAAGAAACCTGGATTTAATAGATCTTATTACCTGAGTCGGATCTTTTGACATTATCAATGTGTTAATCTGTAAAGTTGTTATATATTGATTTATATGCTAATATATTAATTCATGCTTATAATAAAATCAGAAATTACAGGTGATGTTTTATAATACAATAGTCATGTTGATATTTTCACATCTTATGAATATCAAATCAAAACATTTGAAAAAGCATGCTTTAAAATGAACTTCATATTAGTATTTCACAATAGTCTGACTTACATTTATCAGTTACATAATAACAAAAAAAAAAAAAACTAACATAACTATTTGATAATAGTTACAGAACTTATCTGTCTAGTTTAAGGTTTTCCATATATAAAAATTTACAAACATAGCCCCCAGGCAAGCATTTCCTAACAAAATTTCATAGTGTCCAGTGAGCACAAAAAGTATAGTACAACTAAAAATCACAACATACCCACTAACGCTCTCATCTAGCAGCAAGTTACCAACTCAAAACATTGTCAGGAAATCTGCTTATCAGATACTATGTGAAGATTAGTGATGACATATTAATCACCCATCAGACTCCACAAAGTGGAGCAGGAGAGAAATAGAAGATGCTCAATTTTCCATTTCTTCATTTCCTGAGAAACAAAGTTAGACAACAGGAAATGGGAATAAGAGAAACTGAAAATGAGGTAAAGCTACCGACTGTTCTACATCTAATACAAAGTAGAAGAATCAGTAACAGAAAATGCAACCAAGTACAGCTCTACAAAATCCAAACCCAGGCTGAAAATACAGAAAGATTTCAGCTCTTAACCTTCCACCAACTGCGTTTTCTCACTCTACATTCCCTTTAGTAAAATAAAGATGTAAAGAAAGGCAGAGAGAGATGGGTTCCAAATAGACCAGGGTCCTCCTTTCCATTCTCTGTAGAACTGAAGAAATGTGTTCTTTGAAAAACTACAGCTACACTGGAAATACTCTGAACGTAACCCTAGCCTCGACTAACTTTTTGTGGTATTATCACAAACACAAATAAATGGGTACCTTCCAAATTATTCCACAGGAAACCATCATCTCATAAATAAAGGGGGTATTTGTTCGAACAGAAGCTTGAGGGGTGAACATGGAGTAAAACTGCTTAGATTTTTTGTGGAAAGTCCTTAGACTTTAACATGAATATAGAGTAGAACTCTCCCAGACAGGAGTACCATGATAAAGCCTACAGAATCCTCAAATGCGCATACATTACATTTTTCTAAACATTCCTTTTGATCTGTTAAGTGCTTGTGGAAGTCTACTTGGGAAATGTCTTGCTACAACTCCAAAATACCACTTAGTTTTATTTTGAAAAATTATTTTAGGCTAACAGTTCTACCTATACTTAGAAACTGCCAAAACAAATATTTAGTAAAAGACCTTTAGCTTTCACAGTTGCATACTTACCACACTGTGCACAAATTGGCAACTTCTGTACAGAATTACAAAAATAGCAAAATGCTCTATTCTTCTGCCGTCTTGTCATGTAAAACAAAAATTTTAAAGGAGATCAATTTCAGATAAAGAATGAGATTATTTTATTATACATATACAGAAGAAGAAATAAAGAAAAATTACCTCTGGCACTTGTCACATTCCTGTAAAATGTAAAAATGTAACGTTAATCTTTGCTGGTTGAAAGCTGTAAATTTAATTACATTATAAATATTTTCTGGTCCACATTAAAATTTAAATGGCAGTACCCCCAAACCCTCCAACTCCACAGTACATGCCATCATTTGTACATACTTTAGTAGAATTTAGATAAGGCTTTCAAAGTTCTCCAGTCTGGTCCTTCAAATCTGGTCTACTCTCTTTACAAAACCAAGTCACTACTGGTCAGTCTTGTCCCAAACATTTCTTAGACTCTGTCTTCTCCAGATCTTTTTTTATTTTTTTCTTTCTAATACTTTTTCCTTCCATATCTGTTTGCTGGAAGTGTTGGTGGAAGTACCACTGCTCCATAAACTGCATCCCCTCCACACCTGCTCAATGTTATCACCTTAGTCCTAACAAATACACAGTACCCTTACTGAAACACTTATGAAGATCTAGTTGTCATTACACACATCTCTGTATGTCAGTCACTTGTATTTAGTCTTCCAGCACCCCACTTTCTCTGGAAAACAACTATGCCAAAGCTGTGCTATGCAATCCTGTCCCCTCATCACCATAAATAGTCCTAGGGCAGACAAAGACTCAAGCTCAACCTATCAAGTTCTTTCAGCTTTGAGCGCCACAATATACGATACAATACATGCAAACTACCAGTAACCACAAAGCCAAACAAATAAAGCAATACAATCTGAAGCAGAGGAGGGGAGGGGAGGCCAAAGTCTCCTAGGATCCAGTTGTAGGTAAGTCTCAGACCCTTCTCTTTTCCAGTTACTTTGAGGTAATCCACTAGTAAACTACTTTTCCTGGAAAGTTGTGTTTCTATCCTTTATAAATAAACAAGTCCTAAGTAGTACATAACCAAGCTGGACTCCAGAAGAGCATGGAGACAAGACACTGTATCATTCGCCAATGTAGTATATACACAGAATACATGCACAATCCTTGTCTATTAAGATGCACAATGAACATTAGCTAAATAAAGATATGTAAAGCATTTCAAAGCAATCACAAGTGCTCAGGACCAATCTGCTGAGCACAGGCAAAACTAGTTAAGAAAATCGGACGCCAAAAGATGCGTCCAGAAACTAGGGAGCTCAGAAAAAGAAATCAAATGAATAGAGAACTAAAGAATTTATAGGAAAAAAAAGATGAGGAAAACTCAATTTAAAAGAGTTAAGGAAAATAAGTTAGAAAAGCCAGAAAAATCTCAGCAGTTCCTAATATCTATTTCCCTTCAGCATTTACCATCATCAACAGTATATGAAATAATATGCTAGACTTTACAAATAACATAAAAATCTAACAAAACCATTGCTACTCAGTAAAGAATGAACATGCCTCTAACACAGGTTTCGTAATCAGTTATAAAAGACACAAGAATCCTGTGGTCATTAACAAATTTTTCAGATATAATAAAATGGTTTTGCAACGATCAACTGCTGCTTTCTACAAAGCTCTTACCATTGAGGCATTGCATGGGTGCTTGGCTAAGTCTATGGCACTTCTTGAGGCTCTTAGCTGTCTCTCACGTTCTCGGCGGTTCTCTGCTTTCTTCCTGGCACCGGTCTTCTTTTTAGGCATGTTCCCCTCTTCCTAAACAAGAGAACAGCAAAGACAAATTTGCCTGATTCACTTACTATTTTAAGAAACTAAGAACCAGTATAACAAAGTGTTCATACTCCTGTAAATTTTAAACTCAACTCTGATTTTACAGTTACATAAAGATGCTCATTTGCGATATCAAACAAGCCTAGAACAATATAAACATCAAAAGAACTTACCCACAAAGCCAAAGTAGTTTTCCTTTATTACTCTGATATTAACTATTCTGCTCTTTTTGAGACAGGGTCTCCCTAAAGCCTCAAGTGCTGGGATTAAGGGCGTGGGCCACCACATCCGGCTGTTCTTCATTTTTTAAAAAGCTAAGAAATAACTAAACAGTTCTTTTTTTTTTTTTTAACTCAGATGGAATAACTTTTTTGA